CCCCCCCCCCCCCCCCCCCCCCCATGGGAATATCACTACCCCAACAAAGAAGCTTAGTGTTCTACACTTCCTCAATGCTGGAGAGCTGTGCGCCCCTCTTACCAGTTTTATAACTTCCATCCCTTTCTTTAAATTGTTTCAAATGAGCCTTATCTTTCCCTTTCCACATGAAGTACTGTGTGGGCCCTGGCCACTTCCTGTGATATCTCCTCTCAAGGTGAGGTGTTATCTTTTGTTTCTGACCCAATGTTAAGTTTCCATTACAGAATGTTTTAAAGTCTGAAATTGTTCATCTGGCTACAAAATCCTTCTTTAGTCTTTGATTATTTTTAACTTGGGCTTTTACTTTACTCTGTGGACTGTCAGATTTACTCTTCTTTCCCACATTCTGGTTTCTAAATTTACGTATCGGTGTCTAACAATGCAAGAATGTAGCAGCATAGGGAGACAAACGGGCACCCAGGGCACAGGGGCAGCTGCAGTTTCAGGTTACTGCTGCAGCTGCACTCATGCAGCTGCTGGCACCAGCCACTTTTTTTCCCCTTTCCCGCACCCCAAGTCAGCACTTGAGGTGGCTGCCTCATTCACCCTGCCCTACTTACCCCACCAGCAGAATATACCCATTCATTTTAACTTTACTAAAATTCTTATTTGTGCCTCAGCCACTTCCTAAATTGTCGCCTGAAATGCCTTTTTCCTGTGTTGTTTCCAAGTAATTAGCTCCTACATTTTCAAAATTGACTCATGGTTTTGGTTGCCTCAGTTTTTAGGGGTTTATGTTATGAGTTGTCTTAGTGGGGCACCTAAAAATCAATAATATTTGGACTTTGAGTCCAAAATGATCTATCCAATTTGTTTCACTCCAATAAATAGTTATTTTCGTTCTGTTGAACTCAGATACTGCTAATTCATCTCCAGTCCAAGTAAAGAATTTTCTTCTAGTTAACAAAAAACATAGGTGTTCCACCCTCCTACACTTACCTCATACCCACGTGTTCCTTTTGTCTCGCCCTGCTTAGAATTCTGTAAGTTCAGAATTTCTTCTGCAAATGTTGGCTGCCCTTCGTATCTGGTGTTCTCTCCTCCTGTTATGTCATGTCTTTTAACATTGTTTCTGTCTGCATCAGACTGTAATTGCTTATTAAAAAAAAAAAAAAAAA